ATTACACCAAGATCCCTTTCCTTCATAACACTATTAAGGTTATTCCCATCCAAATTATATTTATAATTCAAATTATGATAACCCACATGAATTATCTTGTATTTATTATAATTAAAACCCATCTGCCATTTATTTGCCCAACTCACTAAATCCTTTTGTAAATCAGCAGCATCCTCTTCACAGCTAGCAACGCCCAATACCTTAATATCATCTGCAAATTTAAGTAATTTATTGAGTATCCCTTCATCTATCTCATTAATGTAAATCAAAAAGAGCAAAGTTCCTTAGAATGAGCCCTGAAATACCACATTTGTGACATTATTCCAGTTTGACTGAACTCCATTTGTAACAACCCTCTGCTTTCTTCCATCCAGTCACTCTTCTATCCAATTTGCTAACTTATCCCCCCACATCTGTAGAGCTAATTTTTTTTACAAGCCTTTTATGTGGCACCTTATGAAAATCCAGATACACCAAATCTACACCCTTACCCTCATCTACATAAGCAGTACCCTTTTCAAAGAATGTTAAAGATTTGTAAAGCAAGATTTTCCCTTAGTGAAACCATGTTGACTATCCAGTGAAATTCTAAACTTTGTTAAATGACTTTACAAAGCATCTTTTAACAGACTTTCCAAAACCTTTCACACAACTGATGTAAGACTAATGGGTCTATAATTATTGGGACAATTTTTATATCCTCCCTTGAAAATAGGAGTTACATTAGCTAATTTCAAATCCTCTGGTACCTGCCCACTATTCAAGGACTGACAAAAAAAAAATAGTAGCAAGTGGCTCACATATCCAATCTTTAACTTCCTTCAAAACCCTTGAGGAAATATTATCTGGCCCAGAAGTCTTATCATTTTTTAAACTTCCCAATTTTATCTTAACCAGTTCAGAATTAATGCAGTCATCTTGTTTGATCTCGTCTCCATTTATCAACTGATCAAGATGTGGAATACTACTTAAATCTTCATTAGTAAAAACCAATGAAAAAGTAAAATTTAATAACCCAGCCATCTCATAATCATCAGATACTAGCCTTCCTTTATTATCCCTCAAAGGTCCTATCCCTATCCTAACATTTTGTTTACCCTTAATGTATTTGAAGAAATCCTTACTGTTAATTTTTACATTTTCAGCCAACTTTTTCTCATACATCCTTTTTCATGTCCTAATTTCCTGTTTCACTAACTTTCTTGATCTTCTATAATCTTCTAAGTCTCCTGTCATACCAGTCAATTTAAATTTCTTAAATTTATGATGCTTTTCTTTAATTTTATTTCTTAAACTGTTTGTGAGCCAACCTGGTTTTATACTTGTAACTATACTTTTCGTTCTATTAGGAATATGTTTACATTGAATATTTAAAAATTTATCAGATCAGTGTCTCCAAATAACTCAGCTGCCCAATTCATAACAGATAACTCTTGTCGCATCTCATCAAAATTTGCTTTTTCTGAAATTTGTAACCAAAATATCATTATTCCTTATCTCCATATGCAGCAAAACATTGAACCTAATAGAGCAATGATCACTTGCACCCAGATGTTCCCCAATTTCCACCCTCTCAATCATTTCTGTATTTGAAGTTAACAATAAATCTAAAATAACATTGTTTCTAGTTGGTTCCTTGACTAACTTGTGAAGAAAGCCATCTTGTACAGTTTCCAAAACCTTTCTCCCTCATGGTTTGATTCTAGAATTTCCCCATCTATATTATGACTTCATTAACAGCTGAAATCTCAATCACATTGTAAAGTTTCTCATTAGTATCATTTGATTGTCTGTAACAAATTCCCAATAAAAGCCTTTTCCCTTTATATCCACTAACAGAAACCTTTGATATCCTCAACTTCAACAGGATGTAACTCACATTGTACATATAAAGCCACTCCTCCTTCCCTCTTTAATACTCTATCATTATTACATAGTCTGTAACCCTGTATTTCAAAATAATTTCTGTCATCAAAATCATAATAAGAGAACCTGTTGTTCGATTTAGCAATTTTATAACAAACAGATGGCTCTCATGTGCAGTAATCGAGCCTGGGACCACTTGCACTATAAGCATGTACTCTACCAGCTGAGCTAAAGTTAACTCACTAGCATCTGTCGGTAAAGCAATTTTTAACCCCTCAGACATACATACATACCAGCATAGGGTTTAAGGATCACTTTAGTGTTTACCTTTACAAATGATGGTAGAATGAAAAGGCAATGCACTATATTTGTACTTGAGTTTATTCATGTGTGCTAAAAAACAAATACTATGATTCCTTTAATTTCTCAAAAGTCAAGTAATGTCAGTAACTTTGAGCCTTGTAATATTTATAAAGGTACTAAATTTAATTACATACTAAAACCTTTTTCTGTTTAACTGTGTTTAAGTTTGATAAGCAATAAACAACATGAAAGGAAGGTTGAAAAAATTGTCTCCCTTAACTTATTAATAATGAATCTTTTCTGAAAATTTCCACCCCAATCCTTCAAAATTAATCCATTAATGGTTACTTCTTCTTTTAGTTCTATTTCTAGAACTACAGTGAAACAGGCTTATAGATTTTACTGGACACTAAAATAACTGTTAAGCTACTTCATGTAAAAAAAGGGAGTATAACACCACAACATAAAGTAAACTTGCAATGTGATGTCATCTCGACATGGACAGCCCTCATGTTAAAAGTTTAATCTCCTTTTATATCTGGTAGAAAAAATGCTTAAGTCAAAATTTCACAAAAATACACTTATTTTTCATATAAAACATTTAGAAAAATAACAAAGTTCCAAGTTATTTAACAGTTTGCACAACAGGGATGAAAAGTGCTAAGAGTTAGAGATAAACAATGGAGAAACCATTCAAATTAATAACTTTGAAAAACGAGCTACACGTACATGTAGAAAACAACAACATGCAACAAGAATTAAGTGCATAAAACTTAACTGACTCCCAAACCAACTAGGACCTAACACAGAACATGCCAGCTTTCATTTCTTAATATAAATCTTAATACTTGAAATGTTTTTCAAGAATCCTTAAATATAAAATGTCAACATTAATTTATCATGCAAATAATTACAGTATCAGGAAACCAAAATTTTGATTTAAAACATATGAAGGTGTACCACAGAAAACTAGATCGTGTGAAATTACCTCAGATTTTCTTCTTCTTCATCATCCATATCTGAAGAAAGAAAGTCAAATGTTGCAAGTACTGAAGCTTCCGTTTCCCTAAGTGCATTTTCTGTTACCGAGTTTGTTGTTTTTTTCCCAGGAGCTCTAATAGCAAAAAAAATACAAGTGAATTAAAACTCATCATAAAATGTCAAAAGACTTAGAATAAAACAGAGTTAACTTTATTAGAACATCTATAAACAGGTTTACACCTTAAAACTCTTGTCAAGTCCAGTTAGCCTGATGATAATCCTAGAAACAGGATCAAAAGCTTGAAAATAAAATTATATAATCTTGTGTAAACCAATTTATAAGTATTTCAATATTATTTTTTCCACATTTAAAAGATAACTTCAATGATAGGGTTATTAAAGTAAAAAGTTGTTTAACTAGAGGGGCACTCAGTAGAACGCATACCTCTGCCATGCTTTGATCATACTTGGCTCTCAAAAAATAAAGAAATAGTGTCTGTATGTCCATTGTTATTAACAGACACAGACCATTTTGGGCAGGATAATGAGAAACAATATTCTACATATGTCCACCAAGTTTAATCAAAATTCAATAATTTTTGACTGAGTTATAAAGTAAAAATAGTGTGAACAATTGGTCCCCTTGTTAACAGATAGTTTTTCCATGACCTTGCTGTGACCTTGAACTTTAACCTTCTAAAAACCAATCAATTCTAAGGTGAGTCATAGTTCAAATCCATTCAGCCATTTTCAAGAAATATTGCTGACAAACACACACACACACACACACACACACACACACATAGGGGTAAGAACATAACCTCCACCACCAAATGTGACAGGGTAGAATATTCATACCAAAGTTATGCCATTTTTGTGATAGTAAAAGTAAAAACAAGCATGTAACAAAACATTTAATTCTTGGACTCTGTGGTATTATTTTAAGCAACTGCTCTTCTTGAGGTAAAAGACAAAAAATCAAAAGCATAGAAGCAATTCATTTTTAAAAACTTCCTAAAGTTTCCTTGTGAAATTATATTACCTTTAATGTAGTAAATGTTATATATAAGGTCATCAAGAAATTAATGTCGCATTTTGGAACACTTTCATTAACCACCCCCAAAAAACATACATCACGTATAATAGTTAAATGAACCATCTAAATGTCATGTTAGTGTAGCCTATTTAATGTGTAAAGTTTAGTATACTCTAATCCCTTATAGTGATGGCACATGACGAGACACACAATCGGCACATAATGCTGTTTGAATACAAGAAGGGAAACAATGCCTCTGTAGCCATAAAAAATACCAAAGAAATTTATGGAAATATTTTGAACATTTGTAAGTGTCAACGATGGTTCAGCAAATTTTGTCAG